AAAGCAGTGGCCAAAATTTAAAACAAAGATACTCCGGGGTTGGCGGAGAGGGGGGGTATGTGTGGGCAAAACATTTTGCCCTTTGACCTGCAAGTTTTCACATTAGCACTCTGAGTTAAGGATCATAGAGATTATTTAAATTAATGTTTGGACTGCTCCACCTAAAGTGCAAAACAGTTTTTTTGCAACTCTTTTTAATTATATGGCTTTTGACAATCTTTCATATTTAAGCTGAAAGAGTGCAAGTGGTAATTACTGCAGTCTATACACAGTCTGCTTACAGAGAAACTTACCACAGGTTTCCACACGTACTAACTGCAGCTCAATACTTTTGACCGCAGCCTCTGCATTCTCCACTACCAGCTCCCCTGTTAGTGGCTGTGTAATGATACAGTTTGTAGAACTGAGATGACCTCTGATGAGAAATTTTGGAAGTGAAGCTCTCTGAAAAGATCGGGGGGGGGAACACAACTGTAAGAGCAGACTAAGAAAAAAGTACCTTACCAAAAGACAGTTATCAAAGTATACAGGGAATCCCAAAAAGTTGCAAAGTTAAGAATTCAAAAGTTCAGAAATGCCTCAAGTAACTTAAATAATAGAACTTTTTAAATATGCATCCTTATGCAGATGTATTAAGATACGTCTTACTACCCTCCCCACTGACATGCATCCCCCCTACTCATTCCATCCACAGGAGCATTTTTCCTGGGATGAACTGGCAAAACTTGGCTGTTACTATTAATCCAGAAGTCAGGAACCGCATGGTTGAAGGAGGTAGGCTGACCGGAACTAATAGGGCGGTCAACTTAAATCAGCTGGCGGTGCTCTAGAGAACTGCATTCTTGTCCCATTTTGTTATGGATTGCAATATAGTCTATTATTTCAGTGATTTTCCCACCTTTTTAAATTTCTCTCTCATGGTCACTAACAGGAGGGAAGACAGGCATGTAAAAATGTTTGTTTAATGCAAAATGTAGCATACTGCTTATGTACCAAGACACCAATCAAGGACAATTAGTAAAGAGCTTAATTTGAATAAGGATCACGCTTCTAAAATTTTCTTAACAGCAAGCATGTTTCCTACTTTTTAAGGAAGGAGCAGTAAGAATAGCTGATGGAGGATGACAGTCTATAAATCAGTTTCCATAAAATACCAGAGCGGGGGTTTTGCTCCCCCTGCCCTCCCTGTTTTCAGGCCAGCAGGCATCACAGATACACTCTGCCAGCAGAGAAACTCGTGCCAGAAGCTCCAGTTACATTTCAAGTTCTGGCAGGAGGCGTACTGAAACAGTCAAGTTTTCTACCCACATCTTCAGCTCCTATCTTCACCATCCAACTTTCTTCAAACTCTCTGAGCATCCTGCTCTAACCTTCCCCTTCTTTTGCAAGCCTTATTTTTCTCTCCCTCCTTAATTTTTTGTTATTGACATCTTTGATGTTAGCCCCTACCTTCCAACCATCTGTTCACACTTGCTTGTGGTGTTGGATTTCCTTGCCCACGTAACTGATTTTCCCTTCTTCCAAAACAACTCTCTTGTCGCAAACTTTTTTTTCCCCCCAATCTGCTTGTTTTGCTTCTTAGTCCTGGCTGACAGTAGCAATGGCAGGAAAGTTCTCCTCAGCTATTGTTTAGACTGTTTCACTCAGATACTCAACACCTCTGCAGAATTTAGCTGTTCCACTCAAAAGGAATCTTCAGGGGAAATGAAAAGAGAGGAATTCTGATGTGTTTAGTAAACATGACCTCACTTGGGTTATTTTCTCCTAACTTAAATAACAGAAGTTACATCTCTGACAAAACCACCCTATGAAATGTTGAGTCCTAATAATATATTAGTAAAATGCTTTTTTATTGTATGATCCCTCGCAGGGTCTTCTCATCACCACTATTAGTAAACACAGAGTGGCTTCCCTGCTTCACAGGGATATCATACAGCTATCTCCTGAAGTATAGTGGTCAGGAACCTAAGAGACAGAGAGAAAAGGAACTTGTGGAATGAGAACTCGAGGCCGTTTTCCTCAGTACTAGTCTACCAGACTTGGTTTTTTTAAAGGTGTATTTCCCCTGGAACCTTACTACTCTTGTCAGTACTCTTCATATTTTAATCCTAGCTAGGTCTTCTCTCATAGGACCTATCATTTACACTCTATTTCATAATCCCCCAAAAATGAGAATCAAGAACATACAAGCAAATCTATCCTCGTTTTTCATCTAACCTCTTTGTGCTTTGCTTGGCTACGACAAACCTCCTAATCATTTTTCTAGTAGTCTACCAGAAATTATAGTTCAGTCACAATCTCCAGACAAGCAGAGAACTGAAATTTTAATACTTTAAATATGCCAAAATAGTGACTTTTTCTACCTGTCCACCAGGTAGTCACTTCAGAGCCATACATACAGAGGGAGAGGAATATTAAAAAAAAAAAAAAAAAGGCCACTGCTTGTGCCACCATACCATTCTTTAGACAGCTCAACAATTTAATACCAAGATCTGCTGGATCAGAGATGTCAGAAGTTTTAGAACCTACTTTTGTGGTTATGTACTTGAAATAGAGAAAGGCAGAGGGCCTGCTATTTAACTTAAGAAAGAGCTTTTAGTAGACAGGACTTTCTCATGATGTACACCACTGAGTCTTTGCTAAGCCAATGAGTAGAGTATCAAGATACAGAAGAGAAACAGAAAATAATTTCTATGGAAACATGGTTCATAGGAAGAGCAGACTGCTGAGAGCTTAGTATTTAGCGGTAATCTCAGAAGTAATTTTACCACTAAGAATAGTTATTATATCCTTATATTTGGAAAAACGTATGCTTTCAGTGTGCAGCAGTCTCCAGAGACACGAGAGGCTGTTGGACACAACCTGCTCATCCTCTAACTCAGCTGGATTTAAAGTTCAGCCATGACAGCTGGTTGGTTTTCTAGAATCACCTCCTCCACGCTCAAGAATGGTCTATTCCAACATGCAGAAAGTCAGGCAAAGGTAGGAAGAGACCTGCATGGATGAACAAGATGCTACTGATAAAATCATAAAAAGGAAGTATATAAAAGATGGAAGTAGGGTCAGGTGACCCAGGAAGAACATAAAAACACTATCTGAGTGTGCAGGGGTAGGAAAGCCAAAGCCCATCTGGAATTAAATGACGAGACATGAAGGGCAACAAAAAGGGGCATCTACAAGTCTACCAGGTGCAAAAGGAAGACAAGGGTAAACGTCAGCCTGCTATTGAATATGGCAGGGGACCTAGTGACAAAAGACATGAAAAAGACAGAGGTACTTAACGTCTTCTCTGCCTTGGACTTTACTGATAAGATTTGCCTTCAGGAATCCCCGGCCCTTACAACCACAGTGAAAGTCTGGAGCAAGGAAGAGTTATCCTTGGTAGAGAAGGAGCAGGTTAGAGAACATTTAAACAGACTGAATGTACACAAGTCCATGGGACCTGATGGGACGCACCCACAAATGCTGAGGAAGCTGACCCATGTCACCGTGAGGCCAATCTTGATTATCTTTGAAAGGCTGTCATGAACAAAGAAGGTTCCTGAGGAATGGAAGATAGTAAATGTCACTCTTATCTTCAGTTAGGAAGATCCGAGGAACTATAGGTTTGTCAGCCTCGCTTCAATCCCTGGGAACGTGATGGAGCAAATAAACCCGGAAGCCATTTCCAAACGTATAAAGGACAAGAAAGTGATTGGCAGCAGTCAGTATGGATTTATGAAAACAAAATCATGTTTAACCAACCTGATAGCCTTCTATGATGAACTGACTAGCTTGGTGGACAAGCGGAGAGCAGTGGATTCTGTTTATGCTGGCTTCAGCACTGGTTTTGATACTGTTTCTCCTAACAACCTCACTGACAAACTGATGGAGTACAGACTAGATGTACAGATTAGACACTGAGGTGGACTGAGAACAGCCTGAACTGCTGGACTCAAAGGTTTGTGATCCATAGCACAAAGTCCATCTGAAGGCCAGTCACTAGTGGTGTACACCAGTGACAAGTGGGGTCAATACTGGAGCCAATATTACTTCACATCTTCAATGATGACTTGGATGGTGGGACAGAGTGCATCCTCAGCAAGTCTGCAGATAATACAAAATTGGAAGGAGTGGTTGGTGAACAGTTGTGCTGCCCTTTACAGGGACCTCAACAGGCTGGACAAATGGGCTACAGCATCCTGAGCTGCATTAGAAAGTGTTGCCAACAGGTTCAGGGAGGTGATTCTCCCCATCTCTTCAGCACTGGTGAGACAAAACTGGGGATAGCATGTCCAGTTCAGGACTTCCTGGTACAAGAAACACAGATTTACTGGAGCAAGTCCAGCCTTTGCTGGATTTGGCCATGAAGATGGTTAAGAGCACGTGACGTACAAGAAGAGGCGGAGAGCTGGGATTGTTCACCCTGCAGAACAGAAGGCTCAGGGGGATCTTAATATGTACAAATACCTGATGGGAAGGAGTAAAGAAGATGGAGTCAGACTCCTCTCAGTGGTATCTATTGAAAGGACAAGAGGCTATGGGAACAAATTCAAATAAAAGGAAATTATTTCTTTATTTATTAGTCCTGTGAGGGTAGTCAAACACTGTAACATTGCCGAACGGTTGCAAGTCTCCATCCTTTGAGATACTGAAAACTTGACTAACACATGGCCCTGAGCAACCTGCTCTAGATGACTCTGCTCTGAGCACAGGGGCTGGACTAACCAATCTCCAGAAGTCCCTTCCAACCATGTGAACCGTATTCACATGATTCTGTGAATATGCAGAATAAGGTCAACAATAGCATGAAACAACCAAACAGCTGAGTAAGAGGTCTGTTTTGAGAAACAAGTGGAAGAGTAGGTCTAAATTCAGAAGTCTGGGACTAAGAGCAATGGAAGACAAATTGGGGATGCAGAACGGAGACCTAAAGCAGGAAAGTAGTCTTACTAACAAAAAGAGCACAACAGGAAAATCTGGAAAAACAGAACACAGGTTTCAATGGACAAACAGAAACCAGTGTTCAGAAAGCTAAATGACCAAGACAGCTACTACTGTTCATACAGGCTTCCCAAAGCCACATGGGGCTGTAAAAAAAGGCATAACCAAGGACCAAAATACACATTTTTTTAAATGATCTTGGCTACACGTGGTATAGAATGTTTTCTCTTGCTTGACTGCCATCTTTCACTCAGAAAAATGATAAAAATGTTTAACCATTACTGAACAAAGTTCCATGTTAAATTAGTCACCACTATCACAGGAGATCAGGCAGAATCACTTCATTGCTTACAAAAGTAAAAAAGGAGAAAGGGAAGAAAAAAAAAAAAAAAAAAAGAGTTGATTATCTGCAGGGTAGCATTTAATCATTCCTCTCTTGTTCTCACTCAGAATCACACAAGCATTACATTCAAAATAAAATAATAAGAAAACCCTCACCTCTTTAACATTTTGCAAAGTTTCAGGAGTAATTGTGAAGTCTACTGGGCTTGGCATCAGCTTCTCTTTCTGTGACTACAAGTAATGAAAGAGTTAAACTGTAAACTATGATTTACAAAACACACAGAGAAAATATTAAAAAAGACAACAAAGTCAAGCAACTGTTGGATGTGTTAGTTTTCAGGACTGTCTTCATACTGAAAGTATGCATCTATGTAATAAAACCCCTGAGATTTCCTGCCTTTGTTACTAAATAACATTATGATACTGTCTAAATACAAGTCACAATGCATCACAAATCTGAATTGTAGAAAGAGAACTGTGTCAATTTTTGGTTACTTTGTGTTTGCCATTGCAATAAACCACAACAAGCTCTCCATTTTTAAGTTTTTGGCATAAGCTCTACCTACACTGAGGGGGGGGGGCGGGGGAGGGGCGGGGGGCGGAAAACAAAAACAAAACGTGGTTGACTACTCTAAACCACCTGGAAAAGAAGAAATACACTACCTATCTGAAGCATATGGTATGCTATAGAAAAAAGTTAAATTTCACATTTCTGTATTTACAAATAATTACATTTTATACATCACTTGCAATGTTTCCTTTCATTACTAATACTTAGTAAATTTGGGCAGGGGAGAGAGGGGGAGATTATAAATGAACTCGCTCCATTGCTTCAAATACATTTTATAAACTCTCCCTCCCTCTTGTTATCTCTGAGCACTTTGAACGCTTTCTGCTGCCTTTTCAGTAACAGCTCAGGTTTCCTAAGGCATCCTCATATTACTAGGAGATCCTCAGCTGATGGAATCTAGTGTAGCATTGATTTAATGAGCTTAGCATTCCAGCTTCTTTAACTGTAAAATAAACAAAACTTGGTCCTCGTTAGCTTTCCACACTGGAGAAGGAATTTTGGGGGCACATTATTACAGTTCTTCAGTATCTATTTACACCATTTACCACAAAACCAAGAAGCTAAGTCTTTCCGTAAGTGCCTGGATGGGCCCTGAGCTCTGCTGAGATGGCAGCCTGTACTCAGCATGGGAAGACAAGCTTCGCTTACCTTTCACCAACCCCTCTCTCCATCCTTATCTCAGTGAGGTGCACTGTCTTTTCCCCACATACTTAGAGTAAGTGGCCAGCGCAGCATCAATTATGAGACCCCCAATTGTATGTAACTGGGAGTTGGCAGAGCACACCACCACCAATGGGCTTAACTTGAACTCTTAATTAGGATCTACCCTCACTACTTAAGAATTCAAAATAGCTTCTGCTGCCCAGCTGCAAGACGGAAGATATTAGCAAAAGATTGACTGTATTTTCCCACAAATGACAAATTTTGGCAAAGAATAACATTAAGGGAAATGGTACATTGAGCACTGACAGTGAGAATTATATGTTCAGTAAAACCTCATTAATTCACCCTGACTGAGAGATTCATGATTTACTGACTTGTGATCCAAGAAGTGCTGTAGTGGGAACAAGAAATAAAACCAGGAAACTGCATAATATGTAATTTGTTCACTATTTTGACAAGTGTGGCTTATTTATAATGTAATAATGGACCAATAAAATGTAGCTTAATACATTTTAGAAAATAATGAAATCTTACCAACATGAAGCACCTAGCTAAATCTTTATAGCACCTAACTACATCTTTTAAAAAGGTACTAAATCTTTAAAAAAGGTACTATAGAACTAAAATAACATATTTCCACCATTATTCATAACTAAGACAAAAGAGTGTAATACTTTATTGTCTTGTTAGAGTTCAAAGGAATGATACAAACAGTATGTTCTAGCAAGTTGTGGGTGGAAAAAAGAGATACTTAATTAGGCCTGCACAGTCTGTACTGACATCAGCTGCTCTGGTCATGCGTACAAGTCAGTATAAACTAAAAACCAATCTGATATAGGAACTTCAAGTAACAAGCAGCAAAGCATTTCTTGTGAGACAGTCAAATCTCATCCCACAGCGATACCTCCACAGGAGGGACGCTGTCTCCATGTTGCTAACCACAGGATGTGGATATTTGTTAACCTAGTTATCTCAGCATACTGCCAACCATGGGCTTACTTAATAGCAAAGGTGATTAAGCTGACAAGCTTCTTATTTCCAATTTGACGCAGTCCCAGATTTGATACTTTGAGTCAGGGCTCTAAATCGTAATTAGTCATCTGAAGAACAGGAATCAGATATTTTCTCTTCACCAATGAACTCCCATTTCTAGGACAGGCATTGTGGGCGCCTGGAACCTTTGGCTAAGAAATGCTCAGATAATCTGAAACAGCGTTTAGAAGAACGCCGTAATATTTATCTAACCACACCATTGTTTCAGAACTGAAAGGATGAATAAGAGAATAAACTCAGTGCAGTATAGAAACATCGTACAATCCAAATCCTCTTTGTACTATTTTCTTTAAATGAAAAGAGAGATATGTTATTCTAATCAAAAGCAACTGACACCCTAGCTCTTCTGGATGTTTTTGTTCTGAGGCTAGCTTCCTTTACTCATACACATCCCATGTGTTGCTATTACAAATTACATGTTTTTACTTGGTTTTCTAATCTTACAGCCAAACTTCTCTTAAAGTGAGGAAAAAAAAAAAAACCAACTCTCACTTTGTATAGTTAATACAAACCACACTTACCAGTGAGTGGACAATGAATTCACAAGTCTTAGTTAGGTCTTTTGCCAGCAGAGAACGTCGCATATCACACCGTAGGGTATACTGGCAAGAATAGGATGGCAGAGAAAAAGAAGAGAGCCTTAGTTAAGATTTCCTCTCTGTCTCTTACCTTTTCATCTTTTTATTGCATATGTGCAGAATGTTACTGTTATTAATATTTAAGGCATCATTTAAAACAGTAGGAAATGTACATACCACTGATGGGGAGAGGGGAAGGAGATAAGAGGTATACAATGATTTCAGATGCTCCCAAATGAAAGCTGTTTTTTCTTTGTGTTTACAGTCCCATAGTCATTCGCAAATGCTTTCTGTATCTTCTGTGTCATGTAACAACCTATGAGATTGAGGGACTAATTCACTGACAGAGAGTAGTAGTCTTGTACGGCTTCAGCACCCAAATTACATTCAGTTAAGAGTGATTATGGTATTGCTTTTCACCATACTTTGGATAAGTGATTATCAATAAGACATATTCACAGCGTTTCTAATTTTAAATTTATTTGTAAGATTGAATTTAACAGTGGTAACAGTTACATGCATATTTAATGGAGAACTGTCTTTAACCATATAGCTGAACTTAAAAGCAGCAACGTGCAGTAAAGTCAGGCAACAAGGTTAATTTTGCTGTTCACTATTCAAAAACTTGCTGCTGATTTCCTCCCCTTTCTCCCCTAAAAAGGGAGCCATAAACCTGTGACTGAAAAATAGTATGACCTTGGTCATCACAGTAATTCATACACTTCAGCATCTATAACGTACTCTTTCAATGTCCTTACAAGATAGGGAATTTGTTGGGGTGTTTTTTCCTGTTGTTTTGTTTTTAATTGCTTCTTTACAGACGAGGAATTGGCAAAAACAGGCACACTCAGACTTAAGACTCAGCTTCGTAACTTCTAGTTCATGGTGTGTCTCTGCACATAACCTGAATATGTGTGCAAGAACGAGACCAGGGATGATCTCTCTTTCCCCATCACAGACTATGGTTTCCACTGAAGTTGATCACGGTTGAGCAAACCTTCTGTTATTGCACCACACTTCACTCAGACCAGGGAACACAGTGTAGTGAGGCAGCAGGACCACACAGGCCTTGCAATTTGGCCCACAGCCTCCCCATCAGTCTCTAATTAGAAGGCCTCTGCATGAGAACAGAGATTTGAATCTTGATACTTAACCCCCAGCTAACATACTAATACCTAGATCAAGAAATAGAGGCTTGCTTTTAAACTGCACAGGATTTGGACAGAGGTCTAGGAAGCATTTCTTAAACAGCACCTTTAGTTACTCAAATGAAAAAATAAATAGGTGGTATACTGTTTGTAGTCTATTTTTGCAGTTCTTGATTTGGACAGAGAAAAAATATAAACATGTTAGAAGCAAATGAACTCTTTCCTTTGATTATTTAAAACTAGCAAAGTAGTTTTAGGCAGTTCAAGCCTGATTTTCTAGAAAACAGACTTAACGTTCCCCAATTTATATCTATGTATCTGTTTTATCGGCTATCAGTGCACCTTAAATAACCTTGGGAGAGACTACATTTTCCTCTTCAGGAGAGCAGGACTCTCAAAGGTTGGCTGAAATCTAATGATTAACCTTTTAATTACATTTTATCCCCAGCTTGTAAAGAGAAGCTACGTAGATAAGAGAGGGAATGACAAAACAAAACAAATATTCACCATTAAAGTATACCTTAAAACAACTGATACTGATCATAGGCAAGTTATCTGGATTATGGAAAGCAACTCAACCAGTTTTGCACCATTTTTGACATACCTACCACAAACAACAGATGTTACATTAGGAAGAAAGCTAGGACTGAAAAAACATATGGGAAGTACTTAAAAAACCATCTGAATGTAGACAAAAAACAAGGGAATTCTTCCTTTTAGTTACTTCTGATAGGCTAATAGGTGGGGGGGGTTTGTGGTTTTTTGCTTTGTTTGTTAGGGGTTTTTTAAATCCCAGACTATAATATAAGACTTCCAGTTCAGCTAAATAGCTAAGTTTTATACTTTGTCGTCAAATCCAATACTCTCATCAGTGAGCTACAAGTGGGGAAACAAAAAAAAAAAAAGTTTTACAACCCGGTGATTCTGATGAGCCCTAGTCTGAAAATATTTGCATTTAGTGGCTCCTTCAATTTTTGCCTTGAATTAAAAAAAAACAAAACCAAGAACAAACACATACCAAAAAACACTCCTCAGTAAGCAAAAGCATAATATCTACATTCAAGAGATGGCTGAAGAAAGACTTTCCCTCAAAAAAAAATCCCCCCCCCCCAAAAACCCAAACAAACGAACCCACCTATGGTAAGACAATTTTTAACCAAAAAAGGTCAAATTTCAAAATTGTGTTTCCCCAAGATTCTGTTACAAGCATGTAGTACATAGAGATTTGGGCAGGAAATGTTACTACTCATCTCCACAGGAAAGCAAACAATTCATATTTTTGAAGATGCTACAAAGCTCTCAACACTTTGGTTTGAGTCTTCATTATGAAATTACACAGCCACATTTGTTTTGAACAAAAGGACGGTGTGGTGCAGTCTTTTTTCATTAAGGGAATGGATGTAGTTGTCTACAACATAAAGAGGGATCAGATATATGGTACAGTAGTTCTGACAAGGTATTTCAGGCAAGACTTCTCGTTACTGTTCTGTTTATGCCATCATTCTTTAAAGATTTACTTCATATGGAAGGCCTGAAACAATAAGTGATGGAAAGATTTCCTCTAGTTAGATGTCCTGGTTTCAGCTGGGATGGAGTTGATTTTCTTCCTATTAACTGGTATAGTGCTGTGTTTTGGATGTAGTTTGAGAATAATGTTGGTAACACGCTGATGTTTTAGTTGTTGCTAAGTTATGTTTACATGACTTAGGTCCTTGACATAGTCAAGGACTTTTCATCTATCCGTGCCCTGCCGGGTGCGCGGCGGGGCTGGGAGGGAGCATGGCTGGGACGGCTGTCCCGGCTGGCCAATGGGTATTCCATACTATATGACGTCATGCTCAGCATATAAGGCTGGGCAAAGAAGAAGGAAGGGAGGGGATGTTTGCAGTGATGGCATTTGTCTTCCCAAGTAACGGTTATGCGTGATGGAGCCCTGCTTTCCTGGAGATGGCTGAACACCTGCCTGCCAATGGGAAGTAGTGAATGAATCCCTTGTTTTGCTTTGCTTGTGCGTGTGGCTTTTGCTTTACCTATTAAACTGTCTTTATCTCAACCCACAAGTTTTCTCACTATTACCCTTCTGATTCTCTCCCCCTTCCCACCGGGGGGGGAGTGAGTGAGCGGCTGGGTGGTGCTGAGTTGCTGGCTGGGGGTAAACCACAACATTAGAGGACGCTTCTCAAATGAATGCAGGAAAACAGACTCTGAACACTACGTAGCTTTGTTCCTGTAGGATTTATCCCTGTGTCTTAAAATGGATCTGGTAAGTCAGTACACTTCATTTTTAATATTTAAGTATTATTAGCAGTAATCAGTTGTCTACTATGCTAACGAAGTCTCACTGGTACTAGGTTAACAGTACACACACTTGTATCTGGGTATTTACTACTATATAGATTATCTATAAAATGGTAAATGCAACTTCTTTCACAATAAAATCAGAACTAGATGAAAACATCACCCTGTAAGAGAACTGTACAGGATTTAACAAGCGTGGCAAATACATTTTATCCTTTCTCAACCCAAAGCTCCTCTTTCCAGTATGCTTTTAATTCTCTCTTGTACATCCCATGTTGCACCTGATCAGTTTCATTACCATCAACTATTTCCAATGAAAAGCTTAAACTTGCTGGAAAAAAAAGGGAACAGACATCACCACATTAATTTAAAACCAACATTATATTGATGGGATTCTGGAGATCTCAGGATGTTTCCTTTGCCACATTTGAGAAGTGTTACCAACTGTGGAAAGCGTTGACTCCTAGAAACTGGACTGAAAAAGGCAACTAGAAACTACCTACAAACTAGTACTTAAAAGTTTAACATGCATCATGATTTTTTATCTTAAATTATACCTAGAAAATACAGTACACACCAGAAGAATGCTGTATTAATAAAAGGAAGCTTAAAAGCTACTTACTTCAAAGGATCTCTAACTTTCTGCTCATTCTTCAAATTGAAAAAAGAAAACATATTGTACTATGAAAAGAAAACTTTATCACAAAACTTTATCTTCTGCTTCCATGGAATAAGAGATGCTTTAGAATACATTCTGCAGATAACAAAAGTTCAGTTTTTCTTTACAGATATGACTGCCTTACCTGAATATTAACAAAGACACCATGATATGTCTCATACAGAACTTTGTTCCCCTTCATATGCAATGGAAATTCAAACGGAATTTCTGTCTTGCCACTGGGAAGTTTCCCTGGTTTTACCATTTCAATAGTGCTGTTAATAATTTGAATAGGCTGCAAAGATAAATATTAAGAGATTTAGGTTGAAGCAGAGTGATAGCCCTATCATTTCAAGAACCAACAACATCCATAAACTCTAATAGACTTCCTGAATTTCCAGAAACTCAGGTATTTCTTCACAACACACAGCTCTCCTTTCTTACAGTGAAAAGAAATATTTAATATTTCTTTCAATGCTTTCCTGAAGTAAACAATTTGTGATCTATTTTATGGCTGTATCATACTAATGACCAAACATATTCGGAGAGCTAAACAGCAGAGTCTCAAGCGCTTTGGAAAGTGGAGTTTCATTTTCTAAATTACGACCCTTAATAGTAGCAGCAGG